ATTAGCCTGGTGGCCTTGTTTATTGGTAATTAATATGTTTTTCTAGATTTCTTTATTTTGTTATCAAATTAACGGTGTTGCGCAATTTCAAACAGTGGTCGTCTTTTAAAAATGGCTGCTTGAACGTAAACATAATTTGAAAAGGATTTTTCTCCCAATTTGGACAATTATTGCAAAATAGGGAAAAATACCAGTTGTCCTGAAATTTTGTTCTTTCATTTGTACACAAGAAATTGAAAATATAATATAATATACGACGTCAGGAAGTAAAATGAGAAAATTAGATGTGCCCATTACTTTGTTATTAATATTATTTCTTTCTTTGTTTCGTGTCCCAAGGAAGGTCTGGCGCCCAAAGTATCTTCCGTTGGCAACCCTTTTATTAATTGATAATTTTGATTCTTTTTTCTTTATTTTCTCTAGTTCAAAAATTTACGGGTTACAGATTCTAACATTTTTTGGCGTCATATTGGATCCACCATTATAAATTTTGAAAATCTGATTCCAGATTCACATTTAGGCAAAAAGTTCGTATTTTAGTTAATTTTGAATGAATCAATCTAAAAATTTCCAGAAAACTTCATTACATGCATGCGTAAATAACAAATTTCTTACTGGAAGTTCTTTTAACTTGCAACTTTTCAGCAGTTTTATGTTTGAAAATTTAATTAAATTGAAAAAACCCACAAAATTTCTTAGTTTTTTGTCCATTATTATTGAAAGTATTATAAATCCTGAAATAACATGTCAAAGGGAAAAAAAAGTTGCGCATTTTTATGTTTTATATATGGTAAATGGTACCGTCAAATAGGGTAACTTCGGACGGTTTTCGATGTTTTTTATTAATATTTTTTATAATATAATATCTAGAAGTTTGACGTTCAGAATATATCATCCTTAGGGTCTTGTGTGTTGATATTTCTAGTTAACATTTTTTTATTTACCTCTGTTATTTTCTGTGAAGTAAAAAACAAGTTTCGAATTTAGGTTATTGAAATTAGTGTTAATTTTATGTCAAGACATAGTAGATTAAATTTTAAAAAAGAAATAGCTTTTACCTTACATATGTTCGCTTATAAAAATAAATTTTTTCACAAAGTTCAATAACTTCCTGAAATCTCTTCTAACTAAATCAATTTTTTTCTGAAATTTTTTTGATTATTTTTATTTCACAACTGTCATATAATGTTCCTTGAATGTTCGGTAAAGCAATAGAAATGCGAAATCCTTATAAAAATTTCTAGGTAGAATGGAAATACAAAATATTTACAGAAATATACCAATGTCCGAAGTTAGCCTCCTGTCCGGAGTTACCCTATTTGACGGTACTGTAAAAGAGGCTAATTTCGCTCATGTAGGGTTTATTCGCTCAAGAGATACCTATCTTTTAAAATTCGATTAGCATACTTTTAAGAAAGAAATATATAAAATTTACAATTATTTATTTTTTATTATTTTTTTTTTATTTTTTATTTATTTTATTTTATTTTTTTTATTTATTTTATTTTTTTATTTATTTTTTTTACAATTATTTTTAGGTATATAAATATCAAACATTAGTTTAAAATTTATTTGTAGCAAATTCATTGGTACCTTTAAATAAAAATTATATATTTAAAAACACAAAAGAATATTTTTCATAATGCGCAGTTCACACTGTATTCATCACTAATTGAATTAATTAATTTAATTTAATTACCATGGGAGTCAAATAAAATTGTCTTACGCGTAAGTGTAATTGTACAAATATTTGTTTAACTGTTTTATATGTAACTTAAATAATAGAAAAAGGTGTAAAAGTTTGAATTAATCTTCAATTAACAACAGAGTTATCATCGTTTCATTATAGATTTTATCTACATTTTTTTAATGCTGTATCATACGAGCATGAGTTGTAGTGGAACAAGCTTGAGCAGACGATAAGGAAGAAATTCTATTTTATTTTCTCTCATACAACAAGCAGAGAACGACATTTCCCAGTAAACATAGTTGCTTGTCATTTAAAAGTTAGGGTTAGTCCGGGAGAGATGGCCATATATAGTTTTCTTTAAAGGTTTACAAAAATTTGGGGCGCATGATTATTCCTCAAATTTCAACTTCCTAATGTTCAAAACATCGAAATTCTTATCATTGAAACATCATTTCGCATAATTTTCAGTTTTCGAAATTTCATTCAACATAATTTTTAATTTATCGATTTATTCTTTATCCTATTATTTAAATAGTCGAATTGTTTTCTAATATAATTTTTAATATGTCGAACATTTTTTTGACATACATTTTGTTTTTCCGAATGACTATTTGTCATAATTATTAATCCTCCGAATTGCCATTTGACATAATTTTCAAACCTTCGAAATATTATATTACATAACTTTCATTTATCGAAATTTTATTTGTCATAATGTTCATTTACTCGAATTATCAAGTGACATAAAGCGCATTTACTCGAATTCTCATGTGACATAACCTTCAAATCTTCAAAATGTCATATTTAAAGAAATTTCATTTATCGAAATTTTATTTGTCATAATGTTCATTACTCGAATTATCAAGTGACATAAAGCGCATTTACTCGAATTCTCATGTGACATAACCTTCAAATCTTCGAAATGTCATATTTAAGAAATTTCATTTATCGAAATTTTATTTGTCATAATGTTCATTACTCGAATTATCAAGTGACATAAAACGCATTTACTCAAATTCTCATGAGACATAACCTTTAAATCTACGAAATGTCATATTTCAGAAATTTTAATTTATATTATTACGGAGTTTTCAAATAAACTCCAAAATTTATTGATTTAAAAATTTTAAGGCATTCTTTGGATTTTTTTGAGATTATTTCAAAACTCTAGCGTAATGGGGTTAAATAAAATTTATTTTCAGCTTCAGCGACCCAAAAAACATAAGGCAGTGATACTAAGACTTAAAAATAAAAATTTTTCATTTAAGAAATCATTTGTTGTGGCGAGTTAATGCCTTTTAATTAACATTGAATTCTTTAAAGGGCATTAAAGGAGTTTCAAATTCTGGTCACGTGGTTACAGAGAATTGAATTGGATAGAAATTATCAATTTAACAATAGAAATTAAGATTCATTAAGATTGCGGACAAAAACGGAATTGGTTTGGAATTTAAGAGCATAAAAGTGCCAATCCACTTTAATTCACCCCTTATTACTGCAGGCTTTCCCATATACTTTAAAAAATAAGGAAAAATTGAAAATGAAATGAAAAGTTTACGAAATATTGATTTTATCTATTTTGCCTAGTTTGCCAGACTCTTCACATGCTTCGAAAATTATAACAAATGAAACAAACCGTAACCACACTCACTTCTTTCTTTGAAGTTAGGGTTATATACCTCTTCAAAGCGTTAAAATGAGAAGAAATGTGGTGTGAAAAGCACGGTGAAAAGGATGATTTTCGAGTGTTGTCATTGTTTTGGTGTGATTTTTGTTACTCCTTATTTTGAGATCTATAAATGGAGTTATAGTGATACCCTTTGTTTAACTGTGCTACCTCGTTGGCCATTCAAAAAAAAATTGATAATACGCGCTGTTTTTACATGTTTATTACGATGCCATTGTATTTTTATATAATTGTATATCTTTATTAAAATAAACTTGTTTCAAAAAAAGCGTGCATGGTTAGGTCGTTAGGTTATCGGTTTGCGAATGTTATGGTCGTGCGTTCAATCCCCGGCGTTTTGGGAATTTTTCTCTGTTAGGTCTATAAAAATTAAATATATCAAGAATATATATATAAATAAACAATTTTTAAACAAATTAATAATTTGTTTATAAATTGTAATCTGTAATCATAGAATTTAGTAAATTGCAAAATTAGAAAAAAACTGCAACTTTTTAGGTGCATTCTGTAAAAAGTTTGTAAATAACAACAAGAATTTGTTTAAACAAATAAAAAATTTATTGTAACATCAAAATATATTTTATTTATTGACATAAAAACAATTTTTCTGTAAAACTTTCATGATTTTATTTTTTTGCAATATACAAAATAAACACTCTCGGGCAATTATCACGATTTCATAAAAATATGAACGATTTATTGTATTAAATTATTTAATATACAAATGAAAAAAAAATATTCTACTGCCCTTTGAAATTTATAGTTTATTTTTTTTTAATGAAAAGAAAACTTAAAAATTGCAAAATAATAACTTTGTGGAATCTAAATAAAAATTTCTTTCAATGTATAAAAATGTATTTTGAAAAAAAATAAAAATACACGATTCTATTTTATTATATTGATATGCGCATTGATTTAATCATTGATTTAATCAGTAAAAATATATCATGATTAAATTTTTTCTTGTTCTTAAATCTAAATGCAGAAAACAGAGTGTATTTTCTTCACTGCGTGTACTCGTAAATTAATAATACAAATACTAATTGTTTTTTTATTCAATTTATCAGGACGTAGAGACAGAGAAAGGATCTAAAAATAAATTTACCCTATGCATGCGGGAAATAAAATGTTTTAAAGTAATCCCCCAAATAAATAGACATAAAGAATTCTTCTCCCGCTTATCTCAACGAAATTTCAATTAAAACAAAACTCGGGTATCTTTAAAAAAAAAATTCATCTTATCCTTAGAAAATTAAGACGCTTTTTTTAATACTAAAAAGATGAGGGTGTTGCTAAAAGAAGAAAAAAAAAGCGTAGGATTGAAAACACTGTGTGAAATCACTCGATTCTCATTGAAAATGGGCGACTCGATGTCGCGATTCTAATTAAGACAAATCGGTGCGAGAATGTCGAGATTGCACATGGGGAGTACCTCGATTCTTTCGTGTAGCGTCTTTTGCGACTTTACGCCCTCGCCCATCACCGTATACTGTCAACTCACCCCTCACCCTTTATTTTTTTTTCTCTCTTTTTTTTTTACACTGTCACGATGCCTTCTGTGGAAAAGTCCAGAAGATTTAACTCACACTACCATTTATTTAGATCTGTTCCACGGGACTATAAAACCCAAGGATTGCCCCGAGTTAAACATCATTCCACGGAGTAAGCTCGAATCGAATTTTTCGAAAAAAAAACAATGTCCTCCTCCCGTACTGATTGTCTTTTAATCGCGTTTATTAGTGTGATCGTAATTTTCGTCGCTTGTGTTTCCGGAGACTACGGTACGTGATTATTATCAAATTGTGACAAAAATTGTTTACGTTTTTCTGTGAATTTTTTTTCCGGGACATATATATGTCCCACTTAGAAAAATTTATGTTATTCCTATAAAAGTCAACAAATTAATTTGCGGTAAATTTCTTTCTACTCCGAATATCCGCTGCTACGATTAAAAAAATAATAAATTACATAATACGATTATAATTATTATAAACAATAGGTAAAGAATATTTATAAGAAAATAGCGTAATCTTAATTTTTCAAAAATTCCACAAATTTGCTTAAAACTTGTTACTCAGGGGTGTTCGGGGTCGCTGATAATGAATCTAAAGTCAGATTTTCATAATTTTCAAAATTCAAAATTCGTCCCTCCGGGGCATAAATGTCCCACTTAGAAAAATTTATGTTATTCTTATAAAAGTCAACAAATTAATTTGCGGTAAATTTCTTTCTACTCCGAATATCCGCTGCTACGATTAAAAAAATAATAAATTACATAATACGATTATAATTATTATAAACAATAGGTAAAGAATATTTATAAAAAAATATCGAAATCTTAATTTTTCAAAAATTCCACAAATTCGCTTAAAACTTGTTACTCAGGGGTGTTCGGGGTCGCTGATAATGAATCTAAAGTCAAATTTTCAAAATTCAAAATGGTGTACATTTTTTTCAAATCAACTCAAATTCGCTTGAAACTTATTTTTCGGGATCACCATTTTGAATTTTTTAAATCTGACATCAAATTCATAAGCAGCGATCCCTAAAAACCCCGAGTAACAAGCTGTATGTAAATTTAAGCAATTTTTAAAAAATGTCCGCCATTTTGAATTTTTAAAAATTTTGAAAATCTGACTTCAGATTCGTAATCAGCGACTCCGCAAACCCCCGAGGTACAAGTTGCATGTAAATTTAAGCAATTTTTAAAAGATGTCCGCCATATTGGATCCGCCATTTTGAATTTTCAAAAATTTTGAAAATCTGACTTCGGATTCGTCATCAGCGACCCCAAAAACCCCTGAGTAAGAAATTTTAAGCGATTTTGAGGAATTTTGATGGAAAAATTAGATTTTGCTATTTTCTTATATAAATATTTGACCCATTATTTATAATAATTATAATTGTACTACGTAATTGATTATTTTTTTAATTTTAGCGGCGGCCATTCGAAATAGAAAGAAACTTACCGCAAATGAATTGTTTGATTTTTAGAAGAATAACATAAATTTTTCTAATTGGGACATATATGTCCCGGATGCACGAAAGGGACCAAATACCATTTGGAATTTTGAAAATTTTTGAAAGTCTTCAACCTCCTTTATATACTGAATATCATCATTAATATACTGAATTAGAATTAAATTTTTTCAAATTGGCATTATTTTATTAGAAACAAGAGGAAGTGACTCCCTAAGTGAAAATGGCGGCGAAAGGACACCACAAGAAAGAAACGATTGTATAACTCATAATTGTATGAAAAGAACTGTCAATAGCGCACCAGGGGCAATGTGGTTTGGTCCAAGATTAGGCAGACGGCGAAGATCTGGTCAAAAAGCTTTAAATTTCCGACAAATTGAAGCTGTCACAGGTATAACAAATATATGTTTCTTCATTATAACATAATTATTTTATCAATGCTTTCTTAAATGTTATAAGTAATTTTTATATTTTCTTTTTTCAGAAGATAAAGAAACGGCAAAATTCACTCCACGATTGGGTCGAGAATTGGCTGAAGAAATTTTATTTGGTGACTTTGAAGATTTTCCCGAACAAAATGAGAGACAAGAGTTTTATGATGAAGTACGACCTAAGCCATTGTGGATCTTTCGAAAAGGAAGAGAATCACAGGTTCCATTTCTTCCCATACCAAGGCTTGGTTGACAATTGCAATAGTTATTTAATAATGAATCTAAAATATTCATTGTATTTGAGATTTAAGACTTTACTGCAAAATAATTTTATCTATTGTTGTTTTGTGTATTATTATTATTATTATCTTTATGTACAAGTTGTCAAAAAATTATTCCGTTTGTATATTATGTTAATTTTAATTACTACATTCCGATCAACCTAATTGACTAAAATCGACGGATGTTGGTTTTCGTTATATTTCCATTTATTATCACTTTTACCCTAAATTCTGGTAAATATTGTAAAATAAAGAAGATTTCAGAACAGATTTTCTATTTTAAATTATTCTTTTCAAAAGGCATAGGGATCAAACATTGACGCTTTAGTTCATGTTATTATAACCATTTTATTCATAAGAAAATCAATTTATAAGTTATCCGTATTTTGAAATTGCATAAAAATTAATTTGTTTTTACATTTAAAGTTTAACAAGAATTATAATTAGGATTTTATTAAAATTTCATTATAAAAATATACCTTTCGGGTGACCCAAAGTGACAAATATTTGAAACTATATACATATAATCATAAATATATCCTATAGTCTACAATATAGTTCCAAAAATTGTGAGTGTACATAATTATGCGCTCACAGTTGTATTTGATATGTTCGACGTGATGGTAACTATAAAAACAGTAGACTGACTTATTTACAGTATTGGAAAGAAATTCTTCCACTATATGGCATAACTTATCAACCAATCAGAAGAATATTCGAAAAATTTATAAATGTATATTTAACGTATAGAACTTGCCGCACAGAACAGTTTTATTAATCAGTGAATAAATTCATTTCATCAACGTTAGTTGTACATATTCAATTTGCACAAACGAGTGAAATTGCTTCATCCATCAAAATGCGTTTTTGTAAGAATACTTTAATTTCACTTATTTTAATTTATTATTTTTTTTTATTTTTAACAATTTTAATTATATATCATCAATATGTGGGCGAATAATTTCTGTTCGATTATTAATGTTTAAGATAATTTTTCTTTAAATACTTTTTTTCTTAATATAAGGTCTTTGAACATTATCAAAAATTATAAAAATTGCTTACGCCAGTTAATACCAAATACATTTATTTTAATATATATTTATATTATTATTTATCTATAAAGTTAGTTTTACTTAGTATTTCCTTAACTTATTTTTAATTTGCTGTATTTATTTTTATATAATAATAATATATATAATTTTTACTGTATTTCTTATATTATATTATAAAATATTAAAATAAAAGATGTTTTGATTCTTCTGTTTGGCCTAATGGCTTTTTAAGCCATTAGGCCAAACAGAAGAATCAAAACATCTTTTATTTAAATAATTTTTATGGCTTCCAAAAATATTGAATAAAATATTAAAGTACAATCAAAAAAAATCTGTGATACTACAGAGAGATACACACGTGATGAAATAAATGACAGTTTAATTTAATATAACTTGACATTGACTCAGTCTCCAGCTAATAAAATAAATATATTCTAATTTAGCAACATTAAAAAAATGAACTCATCAGTTTTTAAATTAAGAGAAGAAAAATGTAAAACATGCAATTTAGAAACAAAAAAAAAATAACTATAGAAATATTTATTTTCGAATTTTAAAAGAGTTTCAAATTTTTAAATTCTACCTTTTGTAGAATGAAGTAAAAAAATTTGACTTCAATTTAGAAATATTCGTTTATCTTTATTTGCAATGAAGTGAACAAATACATAAATATCTTAAAATAAAACCAAAAAAAAAATTTTTTTTGTACTTTTATTTTCTTGAAAAAAAATTGACTTTTTTTTCATTTAGAATTGATAATTGAATTATAACACGTGTATGAAAAAAAAATTATAAGATATTTAAACAGATGTTTTACCATGGAAAACGCAATTTTTTTTTTCTACACTAATATTCAAGTTTGCGCAACATTTATTGAAGAATTTCAAATTGATAGATTTCTAAATATATATATATATAATATATTCACCTTGAAATTACTAAATGACTGAATTTTATGAACGGGTTTTTTTTCCTTAGCTTATATATTAAAAGGAACTGTAATATTAATGAATTTGTATTGTCAGTAATATATAGAGAATTTTTAATTTATTTGTTTTTTTTTAATATTCAATTTCAGAAGGGTGGATTTTTTTCTGCTTGTAAAGAAAATTTATTATATGAATTATAAAAGACAACAATTTATTTTTATACTAAACTTAAAAAATATATAAATCAATGAACCATACAATCAATATTTGTGATATTCGTGTATTTCAATTTTAATCAAACTTTTAATGTTAGTAAGCAATCGGAATAAAAATTTATAATTCGTAAAGTTTTTAAAAATTTGTCCGCCATATTGAATCCGATATTTTAAATTTTGCAATTGTGATTTCTAATAAATAAGCCTTGACAATAAATATAGAAAACCACTCAAATATTAAGGAGTTTGTAGTTATTTTATTCTTTATTCTAATTACGCTCATTTATTATAATGAATATTGCGATTTTTACCAAAATTATCATTCGTTATATGAATTTTTTTTATTTTTACAAACAAATAAAAAAAGAAAACTGGACAATTTTATTTTTTATGAAAAGTTAAGTATCCTACTTAAATTAAAAATTAATATTTTTGTCTCTAAAAAATTTTAGTTAGGAAGTGATGAAAAAAATCAATATTCTCTACCAACATATTAGAGTGCCTTGCTACTTAAATATTAATTGATTATCATTATTACTGGAAACTTTACAAGAAAAGTAGAAATTTATCGAATTTGGGCTTAATGGAGTTAATGTAGTAAAAAAACTTTTTACTTTTTGTTTGGATTTTTATGTTGAAAAGGGAATTTTTTTTTGTGTATTCAAGTGTAGACTTTTCATATCAAACATGCGTAATACTCGTAATATTTTAACAAACATAATTGTTTACTTTATTATGTAATATGACGATGAGAGTGTTATATAACAGACTTAACATAATTAAGCCGAAATTGTGATGTAACAATTAAATATTTTTTTAATTTACAACTATAATAATAAATAAATTAAATAAAACTCCATAAAACTATGGAGCTTTATAGTTCAATTGGAAGAACAGTTTTTATGTTATGAATTTTTTGAATTTCAATTTCTGTTGGTTCTTGGTCCATTTAAAAAGATCAAATATTTTCGAGCTTTTGAATATATATAATCCACAATTTCCTACTTTAATTTTTATAATTAAATTTATTTTGTATACAAAAAATTTACTCACGAAGACAAGACAATATAATAATATGATGTTATCTTCTTGCAGTTTCATGTATTGCATTGTTAATGCTATTCGTCTCCTCTATTATCTGTGTCAATTCTCGTCATAAATGTAAAATTTTGTCTCAGAAGATCGAACTATTAGGTAACAGATTACATATGGTAAGTTAAAAAATAATAAATTTTACATATTGTAACAATTTTGACAATAATAATTAATACGGCACTGGCCATAGTTTAACCCCTTCGCAGTACAGTTAAAAATCACTTGTGATCCAAAAAAAATTTACAAAAAAAAAATATGATTTCATCATAACTAAGGTTTTTGGGGTCGCTGAATTCGAATTTGAGGTTAGTTTTTTAAAATTCAAAATGGCGGATAATTTTTAAATTGATGCGTTTTTTGACGGAAATTCATTTCTCAGGGTTTTTCGGGGTTCGAAAATTATTGTAGATCGCGCACATAGCCTAGAGAAATTTCAGAGAGCATCGAACACACTTAACGAAGTCATAAAGGGAAATAGGAACAGGAAAGAGAAAGCAAAAGACTAGCGAAATTTTAACTATAATCAATTTTAGAATTAGATTTATATATATGCGTTTTGAAAAGCATCTTATTTTTTTGTATCAATTGATTTTAATAATATTATATTATTTTAACTGTTATTAATTTTAATATAATGTTCTTTCAGTTGATTTCATTTCATGAATCTAGTAATTATGTTGTCTCTCCATTTGGTGTTGCTGAGTCTTTATACAACTATGAGAAGAATATTACATACATATTATATTACAAAGAATTTTATACAACTTTCAAAGAAACTAGTCCAATGGAGTATTACAATAAACTTCTACTATTCTTAATTGGAAATGTATGATTAAATTTCAGCCTGAATTTCTTATATATATATATATATGCATTTTTAGTTTTCAATGAAGTACATAGAGAGAAATTTATTTAAAATTTGACTGTTTTAATGTACACTTAAATTTTTTCCAGAGCAATTCAGCATCTATTTTAGATGAATCCGAAGAGTCTACACATAAAAACAACAAAGAAGTTCAAACTATAACTCGTAGACTGTATTTGAATCGTGAGTATATTTTTTATTTAATGTAAAAATAACACCTTTAACCAAAGCAAAGAAAAAATAATATTGTATTTCCTGATAAGAAAATAAAAAATAGTGATAATTTATTTCCCCTTTTTTAGAGGATAAATGGTTTGGTATTAAATTTAATATACGGTGGAAGGATGAATTTTCGGAATTCAGTACCACTGACAAATATTTTTACACAGACGTAAAGAATTATACTGTGTCAATGATGAGCGCCGAAAATTATTACATGTGTGGAAACTTATTAAATATATCTGCTTCTTTCATAGAACTTCCCTTGAAGGTAAAATTTAATTATATTTAATAATTTTTGTCAATAAGTATACAAATATACTTCAAAAAACTTAGTACATTTCAATAACTTTCAAAAAATTTAATTTCCCTTAACTTCAAAAAAAGAAATCTGTCCCTTTTGAAAATTCTCATAATGGAGTCCCATATGAACCCATATATAGGAATCCATATATAAATTGATATGGGAATTTATATGGATTCTTAAAGAAAATGAGTGAAACAATGGAGTAAATAAACTTAAACATACTTTTAGGACAATTTTTACATGCTCGTCGTTCTTCCTGATGTAGGAATCAATTTAGAGGCTGTTGAAACAAATATGGCTCATCATTTCGTTTCTGACTTAACAATGGTTAAACAAACGATGCATGTTGATTTAGAATTACCGCAATTCAGTATTAAATTCAATGACAAATTTTCTTCTATTTTAACATCGGTAATGCTTATAAATTATTCTATAGAGTTGTAAGGATATATTTACTATTTCAATGCTCTAGTGAAAATTTCTTTAAAGGATCTTACATTGGTTTTCTGTTTGAATAGTGACCAAGATTAATTCGATAATGATTGACGCGTCGTAATCTTGACTGATGACTTCGATTTGAAAACAAAATAATTACAGATGCTTATAAAAATTTTGCGTTCGTTTTCTAGAATACAAAAAAACATTATGTTACTAAACTTTTAATTTAAATTTGATTTAAGCTCAAGAATTTTATGTAAAATAGGAATTTATTAAAAATTTGAGAAAATGGTCTTGTAATGGAAGCCAACATAAAATCATTTAAAGCAATTTTCAATAGTGTTCAACGTTCTGGAATTTATTTAGATATTCATTTAGAGTTATATATATATATTAAAATGTTTTAATATAAATTGTAAAAAATATATTATTTTTACAGGATGATAGAAGTAATAGTACTGATGCAGTCAATTATTTAATCCAACATATAGCTAACATTGAAGTAAACGAATCTGGTTTAACAACTGCTACTACTAACAATGGTAAATTGCTTGTAAATTTTGAACAAATTCATACGTATACTCCAAAGTCAAATTCATTTTAATTTAGAATTTTAATTAAGCCAGGGTGTCTACTGGTCCTTGAAGTCCTTGAATTCCTGGAAATGTCCTGGAATTTGAACTTTTGTCCTTGAATTTTTCATATTTTGCTTTTCAATATTCAATAATTTAAAAATTTTACTCAAGTTTAAAAAAATAATTTTTTGATCTATCAAAAAATAATTTCAATTTGTCAATCATCGTAATATGAAATAATATTACACAGGGTTGCCATAAAATTTTATTTTTGTTTTTCCCTGACTTTTCCCTGATTTCCAGACAAAATTTTCACTTTTTCCCTGACCCTGAAGAACATTAATAACTTCTTTTTTAAATAAATATTTAATCATTATTATTTTTCTATAGAAATTAAGATTCTCAAATTCAATTACTTAAGAGAATACTATATATATAATAAAACATTTAAGATGACAAAGTAATAAAATCATTATTTCATTTCATAAGAATATTGTAATTAAAAATTCAAATTTTTAAAGATTTTAATTTTAACCCTTTTCAAAATTCAATTATTTCTAAAAATTCATGCTATAATGTTTGTAATACTCAATTATGATTTAAAATTTTAAGTGAAATTCATTTTTTAATCAATTTTTATTAGAAAATTTCCCGAGAATTCAATTATTTAAATACAAAAATAAATACCATAATTTATTCAGTAATTGCATGTTTTTTTAAAATTGAATTTTTATGAAGAATTTTATCAAAATTTTTAATAACAATTGATTCTTTCCACGAATTTAAAAAAAAAATTGTAAGAATAAATGCAATTTTCTATCATTTTATTTGAAATTTTATAAAAATAATTGAAATTCTGCGATAAGTTATTTGTTATTTATGAAAATAATTGAATTCTTGCAACGAATTTTATTAAAAATCTTTTTAAAGAATAATTGAATTCCTGTGAAAAATTTTATTTGTAAAAATAATTGAATTCCAGAAAAAAATATAATATTATTTATGAAAATAATTAATTCCTTGTGAAGAATTTTATTCAAATTTTTTTAAATAATTTAATTTTTCAGAATTTTTAAAAACATATTTTTAAAAATAATTAAATTCCATCGAGAAATTTCAATCAAAAAATTGAAAATAATTGAAATCTGACAAAGAATTAAAAATAATTTTTTTTTTAAATAATTGAATTCCTAAGAAAACGTTTATTTTTGAAAAATTAAAATTCTTGGGAAGAATTTTATTAAAATTTCTTAAATAATTGAATTGCTTAGAAGAATTTTATTTTTACGAAAGTAATTGAATTGTTTCGAAGAGTTTTACAAACATTTTTGGCAATAATTTATTGTATTTCTAGAAAAATGTTGTATTTTACGAAAATAATTCTATTCCATATGTGATCGATTTTATTATAATTTTTCAAATTTATAAAACATTTTATCAAAAAGTTTTAAAAATAATTGAATTCTCAAGAAAGAAAATAATTGATTTCTAGCGAAAAACTTTATTCAAATTCTTTTAAATAATTGAATTCCTATAAAAAATGTATTATTTGTGAAAATAATGAATTCTTAAGAAGAAATGGATTGAAAACAATTGAATTGTATAGGAAAATTTTATTAAAATTGCAATTTAATGAACTAAATCTTGCAAAGAATTTTGTCAACATTTTTTTAAACAATAGAATTATTAAAAGAATTTTATTTAAATTTTTCGAAATATTTGAATTTCTGAGACTATTTTTTTGAATTTTCTTTATATATTTGAATTCTTTCAAGAAACTTTATTAAAAAATTAAAAATAATTGAATTGATGTGAAGAAATTTATAAAAGAAATTGGTAAGTAATTGAATTCCTTTTGAATTTTTATTAAAATTTTGTTTAAATAATAGAATTCTTTTGGAAAATTTTATTAAAATAGTAGATATCAAAAATAATTGAAATGAGGAAAATTTTTAAAAATAATTGAAATTTTTCCAAGAATTTTATTAAATTATTTGAAAATAATTGAATTTTGGAGAAGAGTTTTATTATTCATAAAGATAATTGAAATTTTGACAAGAATTTTTAAAAATTTTTGAACAGAATTGAATTTATGCGAAGTTATTTAAAAAGAAATTATTGTCAAAAATAGAAAAAATTGAAGGGTTTGTATTAGAATTCTTGGCAAGTTCATATAGTTTATAAGGCAAGCAAAAAAGACACCAAAATTCAGAATTTTCCCATAAATTCTAAAAATTTAATTTTTTACAGTACTTTTAGTAAAAATCCCTGACTTTTCCCTGAATTCCTTGACTTCCTGACTTGTGGCAACCCTGTTACACATATATAAATGTCCTGGAAAAATAAGAAATCTGTCCTGGAAAGTCCTGAAAATGTCCTGGAATTTTAAGTCATTTTTTCAGTAGACACCCTGTTAACTTTAGTGACAAATTCATTTTGATGTTGAACCCCTTAAGGTCATGTTATTCAGTGAGACGTTTTTCCATATAGTAAAGTGTATAGATCACGTGGCCACTGAATAATATAACCTTTACATGATCTTGATTATTATTTTTCCTATTTAAAAAAATGTAAACTTCAAAGGATCATAAATTAAATTAATTTAAACAATTATAAATTATCTTTTCAGTCTATATGTTGAAATAAAAATTGACTATTTTAACTCGGAGATTAAAAAAATATTTGTTGTGGGATTAGGCTATATTATAACTTAAGTTTAAAATATTTTTAATAAATATCTTTTTCTTTTTTGCAGAAATTTCTTTTTTCCCGGTTTCAGTTGGCAATGGCTACAAGTTTCATGTCAATCGCCCTTTTCACTTTAAAGTAATAAAACGCACGTGTGGAGACTCAGGTAATCTTGTTATTTTTTCTGGAAGTGTTAAAAAATTCGAATAATAAAAAGGCGGATAGAAAAAGAAAATTCAACTTCTCTCCAGTTAAATAAAAAAATAGAGACACATAATTGAATTTTTTAAAAATATTATTTAAAAACATAAAAAAAAAATTGGCAAAACATTAAATTGCCATCTTTACAATTGTATTTGCAATCTAGAGCACTTAAATAAATAATTTTAGGAGCCAAAAGATAAATATTAAATGATAACGTATGAAATGATTATATATGACAATTTTCGTAACGTGTTTCAACTGTACACACGATTTAATTCCTCATTATCAGTTGTTGAATCTTACAGTAAATTACAGTGAATGAAAGGCACGTGTATTTTTTCTTATGGAAAGAGTAAATAATTTTAGTTTATTAATTTCAGTAATTCTAAATCTCTAGTATAGAAATTTATACATTATTTTACTATACATGAAATTAATAAAAGTTTCTAAAGTACTTAAGTAATTTTTAAGTAAACAAATGATTTTAGATACTATTGCACAAAAATAATTAACTACAATTTATTTATGAATTATAATTACTTAAAAAAAAAATAATTTACTAAATTGTATACCCTAAAAAGAGTATAGCAACTATAGATTTCTGTAAAAAATACACAATATTGTACATTTTACTATTTAAGTCATTATTTCACTTTTCATCTAAAACAGAAAAATTTCGATATATTGTACATCATAAAAATTAGAAAATAAATTTTTTTTTGTTAATTAGGAAAAGTATTGAATATATTTACGTTAATTAAGTGCTTAAAAATGTTTTACTGTCATTTACCATTTACCTACGTATTAAATAAATTACAATTAAATAATAAATATATTATACCTTAATTCATTATTTATATATTTTTAGACATTTAAAAAAAATGTAAGACTATAAAATACGCGCTAAATGATAATAAATCATTTTCAATATCTGTAAATATAAAACTTTAATTAAAACTTACTTACAATAAATATAACTGTTTTTTTTATTGAATTTATACTTTTAAATATTGTAAATTTACTACTAACAAAAATTTTTTCGATTAGCAAATTTTAGCTGATACAAAGACAATTTTTAAAATATTGAAAAATTACATATCAATTAAAAACTCTATTTTATTATATTCATTCATAAAAAGAATTTAAATTTAGAAATTAAAAAAAATTTACATATGCAAGAATTGAATTTATAGAAGTTTTGATTTATGAAAAATTGATATTAAATTTATTGATCCTAAAAATCCCCGGGTAATGATTATTAAAAGCGAATCTGTTAATTTCTTAAAAAGTTAAAAATTCTGTCGCCATATTAACTTCGCCATTTTGAATTTTTCAATTCACAGGACCAACAAACTTGACAGAAAATCGAAGTTCCACTGTGATCGATTTGTTTGCTTTATTTGAAAATCTATATTCTTAGGAGTACTTATTTTGAGATTTCTTTGAAGAGCGAATAACTCAATAATTACGAAAGTTATTTTCATTAGAATTTAGTGTGACAAGAGCTGCTGTAAGTCGTCTGGCGCCACTCAAATGAAGCTCAACAAAAGGAATTTGAGAATGAGGAGCATGATTATTCCCCAAATGTCATTTGACCGAACTTTCATTTTACCGAATTGCATTTATTCGAGCTGTTATTTTAACGAAATGCCACTTTTGCGAATCGTCATTTTTACGAATTGCCACTTTTATGAAATGTCATTTTTGCGAATCGACATTTTTACGAATTCTGTAACCTCGTTGAAATTGTGTAATGATATTTTCAACTTCACAGCTAGCTGATATGCCATTCTCCGAATATCCATATATATACGAGTGCAAGGAAATCCATCTTTCTCGAGATTTTTTATATGTTCAACTAATTTTTTCATTTTCGTATCCTAGAATGGGTCCTTTTGTACGAGAATTGTACTTTGTTTCTTATATGTCTTATAAGTCTCTGTCACATAATTGAATTACTAAATTTAAATAATTTAATATTCTTGATAATAATAGTCAAATGATTATTTCGTAATTTTTTTTGTAATTTATATTATACAAATATATTTATTCCTTTATTCCTTCTCAAAATCTATGCCTTTTAAAAACAGTTGGGATATATGTGGAAATTATTTTATATTTTATTAACCACAACTTGAATAATTATAATTTAAATTTATTCTCATAATATATAAGGTTTTAACTTTGTATAGCTATGTTAGGTTTTAATAAAACAGCAAAATTATTTACAATAAATACAAATTTATTTAAATAATAGCAATAATAAAAATGTGTTAAACCTTATTTTTTGTTTTGATATTTTTATTATTTAAATTAAATATCATTTCCTGAGTGCATTAGATCCGGATCAAAAAATTCAATTTGCCACTCGAATGCTGGCTTAAATTATCTAAAATACTCAGTTTCAAAAATTAATACTCCCAAAGAAAAAGAATTTAACATTTCTATAATCAGGGTGTCTACTGAAAATATGACTTAAAATTCCAATTTTTTCAAAATTTTTTTCAATTTTTTTTTTTTTTATTTTTTTCCAATTTTCAGGACTTTTCAGGACAGATTTCTTATTTTTCCAGGACATTTATATGTGTAACAGGGTTGCCACAAGTCAGGAAGTCAAGGAATTCAGGGAAAAGTCAGGGATTTTTACTAAAAGTACTGGAAAAAATTAAATTTTTAGAATTTATGGGAAAATTCTGAATTTTGGTGTCTTTTTTGTTTGCCTTATAAACTATATGAACTTGCCAAGAATTCTAATACAAACCCTTCAATTTTTTCTATTTTTGACAATAATTTCTTTTTAAATAACTTCGCATAAATTCAATTCTGTTCAAAAATTTTTAAAAATTCTTGTCAAAATTTCAATTATCTTTATGGATAATAAAACTCTTTTCCAAAATTCAATTATTTTCAAATAATTATTTAATAAAATTCTTGGCAAAATTACAATTATTTTTAAAAGTTTTCCTCATTTCAATTATTTTTGATATCTACTATTTTAATAAAATTTTCCAAAAGAATTCTATTATTTAAACAAAATTTTAATAAAAATTCAAAAGGAATTCAATTACTTACCAATTTCTTTTATAAATTTCTTCACATCAATTCAATTATTTTTAATTTTTTAATAAAGTTTCTCGAAAGAATTCAAATATATAAAGAAAATTGAAAAAAATAGTCTCAGAAATTCAATTATTTCGAAAAATTTAAATAAAATTCTTTTAATAATTCTATTATTTGAAAAAAATGTTGACAAAATTCTTTGCAAGATTTAGTTCATTAAATTGCAATTTTAATAAAATTTTCCTATACAATTCAATTGTTTTCAATCCATTTCTTCTTAAGAATTCATTATTTTCACAAATAATACATTTTTTTCATGGGAATTCAATTATTTAAAAGAATTCGAATAAAGTTTTTCGCTAGAAATCAATTATTTTCTTTCTTGAGAATTTAATTATTTTTAAAACTTTTTGATAAAATGTTTTATAAATTTGAAAAATTATAATAAAATCGATCACATATGGAATAGAATTATTTTCGTAAAATACAACATTTTTCTAGAAATACAATAAATTATTGCCAAAAATGTTTGTAAAACTCTTCGAAACAATTCAATTACTTTCGTAAAAATAAAATTCTTCTAAGCAATTCAATTATTTAAGAAATTTTAATAAAATTCTTCCCAAGAATTTTAATTTTTTAAAAATAAACATTTTCACAGGAATTCAATTATTAAAAAAAAAAATTTTTTTAATTCTTTGTCAGATTTCAATTATTTTTAGTTTTTTTATTGAAATTTCTCGATGGAATTTAATTATTTTTTAAAATATGTTTTTAAAATTTCTGAAAAATTCAATTATTTAAAAAAATTTGAATAAAATTCTTCACAAGGAATTAATTATTTTCATAAATAATAATATTTTTTTCTGGAATTCAATTATTTTTACAAATAAAATTTTTCACAGGAATTTAATTCTTTAAAAAGATTTTTAATAAAATTCGTTGCAAGAATTCAATTATTTTCATAAATAACAAATAACTTATCGCAGAATTTCAATTATTTTTATAAAATTTCAAATAAAATGATAGAAAATTGCATTTATTCTTACAATTTTTTTTTTAAATTCGTGGAAAGAATCAATTGTTATTAAAAATTTTGATAAAATTCTTCATAAAAATTCAATTTTAAAAAAACATGCAATTACTGAATAAATTATGGTATTTATTTTTGTATTTAAATAATTGAATTCTCGGGAAATTTTCTAATAAAAATTGATTAAAAAATGAATTTCACTTAAAATTTTAAATTATAATTGAGTATTACAAACATTATAGCATGAATTTTTAGAAATAATTGAATTTTGAAAAGGGTTAAAATTAAAATCTTTAAAAATTTGAATTTTTAATTACAATATTCTTATGAAATGAAATAATGATTTTATTACTTTGTCATCTTAAATGTTTTATTATATATATAGTATTCTCTTAAGTTAATTGAATTTGAGAATCTTAATTTCTATAGAAAAATAATAATGATTAAATATTTATTTAAAAAAGAAGTTATTAATGTTCTTCAGGGTCAGGGAAAAAGTGAAAATTTTGTCTGGAAATCAGGGAAAAGTCAGAGAAAAACAAAAATAAAATTTTATGGCAAGCCTGTGTAATATTATTTCATACTATAGCAAAGTCCTACGCGCGCGTGAATGATTTAAAGAATTATCACGGTAGCAATCTGCCTACCTGCTTTCCACAGAAAAAATTTAATAATTTTAATTTATATTCTTGCATGTTTACAATAGTTATGTTTTTTAAAAAAATCTCGGTATTTCAACTATATTATCATTTCCACGCCTCAGAAGCCATTTAAAAAAATTGCAAGAAGATCGAAGGCGGGGAAAGCAGTGATTTTTACTTTTTGTCACGGATTTTTCAGAAATCCTAAAATATAAAATAAATCAAAATCACTGCTTTCCCCGCCTTCGATCTTCTTGCAAAATTTTTTAATGACTTCTAACATTAAAATAAATAATTAGCAAACGAAAAAAATTGCTTCTAAGGGGTGAAAATTATAATTTAGTTTAAATACCGAGATTTTTAGAAAATCCTCAAAAAATCAAAATTACTACTTTTTTTGCCTTGGATCCTTTTGCGATTTTTTAATGGCTTCTGTTATTAAAATAAATATATGTAATTACCAAGTGAAAAAACATGCCTCCACTCAACTTTCAAATGAAATTTTTATACATGTAATTTTCTCATGAAATCCCTCAAACATTTTTTAAGCTCATATATAAATGTAATAAAATTCAAACTCAAAAGATTTAAATTATAATTTCTGCAAATATTTTAATTTTCATTCTTATGTTTCTAATAATGGTTGGGGTACAGTTTTTCTAAATCGTATTTTCTAAAATTTTTTTTCTAATAAAGGTGAATTTCTAAAAAAAAAATTTCTAATAAAGGTGATTTTAAAATTTTCTGCCTTCTAATATAGCTAATTTTCTAAAAATTTATTTTTCTAATAAAGGTAATTTTCAAAATTTTTCTTTTTTCTAACAATATTCTATTTTTGTAATCACGATCAATAAGTACATATGATTAAAAAATAAAATTTACGAAAATTTGTTAATTCTTAAAAAAAAATACTTGATATTTCGTTAAAAAATTATAATAAAAAATATAAATTATGCAAATTACTTAACAAAATTTTTAAATAATCCAGTTAAAAATCGTAATTAACAAATTATAGGGATTTTTTCCCTAAAGATATTTAAAATTTTCTAAAAAAAATTTTTATAAATATATATTAACTTTGGAAATTTAAGTGTAAAAATGATGCAAATTATTTTTTTTCAAAGAAGAATAGAATTTTGTTAACAAATTGTGATAAGAAATAATAATTTTATAAAAAATTTTCTTCATTTTCAAAAAGAAACTTATAATTTTGTAAACAGAATTGTAGTTGAGAAACAGAAAATTTAATCTTTATTTTTAAACAGTTTTCTAATTTTTATCAAAATTATGGAATTTTAGAAATTTTAGGAAAATAAACATTAGAAATTATAACTTTTTATAAAAACTTTTTTCAGAAAAAAAGATTTAATTATAAATAGCCTTTGTAGACAAAAAGGTGTAGAAAATACTTTTTTTAAAAATAGTGTTCGCCTACCCTAATAATTGTTAGTATTCATCCGAAAAATATATTGAATACATTGAAATGTTGATAATTGAAGGAAAGAAATGTTTAATAGAATTTATAAGTATTATTTTTTCTGAAAAAAATAAAAGTACCCGATTCTGCGTAACCGGAATGGCAAGAGTATCAAAAAATGTAAAAAATGCGGAATTTTTTTTTAAGTTTATTGAATTATCATTTTATAGGAGACTGAATTTACCAAAAGAAATAAAAATTCTAAAGATTTAATTAAAAAACACTATTTTAATCATAAAAAACATACTAAATATTTAAACTTCTAAATTTAAGTGTCTTTAATCAATTTATTTTTGTCAAACAAAAGTGGCAAATAAAATTCAGTTCACTAATTGAATAATATTGTAAAAAAAATTGAATAGAGGCATGTCTTGATCATTTTTCTTCAATTTGTAAAAAAATTTCTTTGCATCAAGTGGTTATCACACATATGGGAATACTCATAACCAAAATTTCTATCAAAACATTAATTACTATAGAAAAACAAAAGACGACACTTTCTGTTCACGGAATAGCAAATTATTACTATTACGATTAAAATAATTTAAATTAACCTACTTGAACAAAAATATTTATTTTATTATAAAAAGAGTTAAAAATCAATATTTTAGATACCAGATTCTTTATAATTAAATGACAAATTGAAATTATTTTTTGATAGATCAAAAAACTATTTTTTAAAACTTGAGTAAAATTTTTAAATTATTGAATATTGAAAAGCAAAATATGGAAAATTCAAGGACAAAAGTTCAAAATCCAGGACATTTAAGGACATTTCATTCAGGACATTTCATCTGTCAAATATAAGCCTGCACGTGTCCCTTTTTTGATTTAATGGATGAATATGTTAAAAACTTTTTCTAGTATGGTCATTTCGATGTAACTTTAGAAGAATCTTTCTTTGCATTTAAAAATGCATCAGTTATACTAATACATAATTTTTAAGTTCGAAGATCAAACATAAAAATTAAGTATTTAAATTTAAAAGTTTGATTTTAAAAAAATTTGATGACTTATAGGTAAGATAAGAAAGTTTCTATTTCCCTTAGAGGACATTTTAAGGATATGATAAAAGTGTCGTAATTTTATCATTGAAAAAAATAATCAGAACTTGTTCTAATTTCAGGTAAAATATTGCGACAAATTTCTATTTCAAGGCGACTTTATTCCGCGTCAATTGACGTAATTAAAAGTGATAAATTTTGGCGGTTATGACGCTAGACACGTAGGAATTATATTTATTGGATCATTTTTTTTTTCTTTTTGAAAAGTAACTTGGCTTTTACACGAAATTAAGACAAGTACATCGCAGCAGTTTCGTGTGATAAGTTGATTTTAAAAAATATTCTCTACTACGCGTTAAAAATATATTTGAATTTCATTCTTTTTCTTCAACTTTCTTTCTAATCATCAAATTCGTTTTGGATAAATTAGTGTTTGTGCGAGTTAATATTTATTAATTTTTACAATCAATTTCTCTAAATTTTTCATCTATTCCAAATAATTAAATTTAGTAAAAAAAAAAGTTGTTTTATAATCTTTTTTTTTTTTTCATTTTTCATTAATGAAGCAGTTATTTTTATTGATTTATTAGAGAAATTTAATTTATTCGTTGAAAAAGGGATTTAAAACTTTTCACTAATTTGGATTTAGAGTGCGTATATAGACATAGAAAAAAAATTTACAGTTTGTCAAGAAATATAATATATTATTCTTGTGTAAAACATATTAACCAATCGCTAAAGTTTTCCCACTTAGTAGAACTATTGTCGAAATTTGGTAAATGGGGAAGTTTATATAAAATTTTTTACACGATTCAAAATTTTTTAGTCATTAGACACATTAATTTGATCAACATTTGCTCTCTGTACATATTTGTTTAACATATCAAGTGAAGTTTCTTCATCCAGTCAAAATGAATTTAGGTAAGAGAATTTTATTTTTATTTTCTACGTTTCTTTTATAAGAAATTAAAACATGTGTTTAATTGAAAATTAATTTATTTTATTTTATAAATTATTAATATTTTTAAATAGACAAGTTTGAATATTTTTTTTATTTTTAAGAATCACTTTTTTGGATTGGAAATTTTTAAATAACATCAACCCGCATTCTCATATATCAAAAATTTACTTTTTCTTCAATTCAATCGTTATCCTGAAAACATATCTTTCTCTCAGTGTATATCAATTTAAATTGTGTTTTTAATAAATATGTGATAAAATTAATAAATTGTGACATCCTTGTAAATTGAAATGCGGTTTTCAATAAAATTTAGAAAAGTATTAAATAAATCTACGTCTAAAGTGTGAATTTTCATTTGATAGATATATTTTGCGTACCTATTTGTGTAAAATTAAGTGAAGTTTTAAAATACAGAAAAAATTAATTTTTATTAAAATATATAATTTTCAACATAGTGCAGACATTATAGTGGATATTTTAATACATTGGCAATCATGCTGATAATTTGTAACACGTGTTTTCAAAAAAAAAAAGGTGAGATATTTAATTTGACGCGTATAAAGTTTAAAATACTGGAAATATTAACGCAATATTGACACACTTAAAGTAAACAGTTTCCTTAATTTTTTACAATAGAAAATTTTAATTTCATTAAATAAACCCAGTGCTTATTTAAATAAAATTATACAAAAATTATCTGTAGCTGGAAAACATTTATGTATAACGGATTTATTTTCCGTTCATTTTTTTTTTTTCATTCGAGTTTAAATATTAAACATTTTCGTTTCTGTTTATTTAATAATATTATGCGTGTGTTTATTTAGAAGTTTCGAGAGAATCCGTTACACGCGTGCGAAATGTCATTGAGAGGTCAAATAGAGTAGCATGAAACTTTTGACATAGAGATTAGAAATATTTTCTAAATTTATTCATTTTAACAATGCTTTTTATTAAGCTTTCCATTTTTTAAAATTTATATTAGGTTATATTTAGCCATAATCTCAAACTAGAGAGCAAGAACCGCTGTAAATACATTCTCAACTACTATTATATATACTAACTAGATAATTTCTTTTCCACTTGTGAGAAACTTTTTATAAATTATTATTACAATTACTAATTTGATTAAATTTAACCGTTTGACAATATCAACTACTGTTTCTTTATTATCAAGGTCAATTTTCAATGAACAAAAAAATTGTCTATTTTAAAAAAAAAGTTAATTCATAAATTACATGTATATCAGCATTCCCGCATGAAAGATAACCGTTGCCACTGCTGGCGCTGGCTGTTCACTAGGCTCCTGCGATATTTTTCTTAATTTTAAAATTATTAATAAAAAAAAAAAATTAGCAAAAGTCAAAATTCGACCAAAACCTGATAAAAATTAACCGAAGAGGAATAGGTAACATCATTTAAAGAACATGGATAAATATGTTCGAATAATCTAGAATTTTTTTTTTTTGTCCATTGGGCTAATAGCAACTTTTAATTAAACACATGTTTTAAATTATAACATATTATTAATTTATATACTTACAAATTATGTTAAAAATCTTATAGATTTCTTGCTCTATTATTTATCCATCACAATCATTATTACACATGGAGCAATAAATGCCTTTACACACACAAATAATTTTATAACTTTCGCTGCCAACAAATTTAGTGCTAAATTTTACGAAGTAAGTAAGCATAATATCTCTATAAAGTCAGAATGAGAAAACTAATCCATTTATATTTTTATAAAAATAAATATTTTTCCTTCCAGTTAGCTGCAGAAAATGTTAGTGAAAATATTATCGTTAGTCCTATTAGCACACTTTTGACCTTAACTGATGCAATGAAAGATAATTCTCAGGAAGTTCTAGAGGATTTTCGAAATGCTCTTAATTTAACAAATATTGATGATGTATTTGATAAATACAGAGTTCTCAAGGATAAAGTATCGGTAAGTGCGTTTATTTACAAAGAGACAAATCTTTTATTATACTATTTTTAATCTTTTGTATTATATTATAGTTTCATCTTATAATTAATCAAAATGGTTATACCCAAATAATTGAAATACATTTTTATTACTTAGAATCTACCATATACAGACCAGAATCAATTGTCTAATTCTTTAACACGTGGAGGACCTTCTAACACTGTCAATGCTATAAGTTTTCTTGATATTTTTGATAACGAACATGTAACTGACAGTCCTCGTAGAAATAATAATGTAAGAAGAGGTAAGAGAACTATCAAACTTTCTAACGATTACAATTAACTCTTGATTTTTCTTTAAATGATGAGAAACATGTTAAAGAATCATAGTAATAATAGTGAATTTCTCTTCATGTTAGATTTATCAAGACAACGAATGATGTTCAGCAATAATATTGATATAAATGATAGATGGCAAGAAAAGTTTTCCACATATAGTACAAGTCGCAAAGCATTTTATTCAGAGAATACGATTTATATTACGGACATGATGAGTACAGAAAGTTATTTTTCATTTGGACGAGTTCCTAACGTAAGAGCTTCCTGTCTAAAACTTCGATTTCAGGTAAAATCTTATTAATTGAGTTTTATTGTTACTTAAAGAATAATAGAGAATTACTTTATCTGAATTTTCTTCCTTCATCAATATCTTGTATTGCTTGGCAAAAGATTTTTCTGTCAAACTAAATCTCTTATATGATTGTATTTAATTAGTATCAAATCTTTTATTCTATCTAATAATTTTGATAATTTAAATTATAATTATTTTTTACAGGATGGAAGATATTCTATGCTAATTGTCCTTCCTGATGACAGAAATCATCTGAGAAACGTAGAACGTAAACTTGCACAACTATCCCTTAGAGAGATAACACGCGATAATCGAATGACTCATGTTGAATTAGATCTGCCTAAATTTAGCATTTCTTATCAAACAGATCCAAAAAATATTTTAAAAATGGTACGTTCCTAAATTCTAAATCCCTAAATGCTACATTTTGAAAAAACAAAAGTTTATAATAATAATTATAAAAAAATAATTAATACTTATCAATTTTATTATTTTTCCACAGCTAGGGTTCAATCATGTATTCAGCGATAACATACAGTCCAATAATAATAAAACTGTTAATATTAATGTTCTAAGCAATTCCCAAATGAACATTAATGAGGGTACTGTAGATGATAATGATTGTAAGTTATTTTCTTTCTTTCTAAAGTATAGTATTAATATTAAATTTTAAATTCTTTAACTTTGGATAAATTTTAATATGCCCAATGTTGACAACAAGACGATAATAAATTTAAATTTTTTTCAGATTATTCTTTTGTTCCTGTTACACTATCTAATGGAGTACGCTTCAATGTTAATCATCCGTTTCACTTTAAAATAATCAAGACAATTAATGAAACCGAAGAAATGGTTATGTTTGTTGGACATGTTACAAAAGTATAGCCAATGGCATCATTTCTTTTAATAATTATTAATCATTTATTTATATTGTTATTGTTACTTCATTAATGTGAATTTACTCAGCTTCTCTATCGCTTAAAAATGTAATTTTAATTCGCATGTCATTTATAATTAATAAATAGATTTATAATAATTAAATATTAATTAAAATTACAAATTCATTTTTATTCATACCAATAATGCTTAAATTCTACTTGAATGTCTTTTTTTCCAAAGATTGACACATTTCGATATGATTGATAAATTTTAGAATTTTACGTATAAAATGCGAACAGTGGGAACGACAACGACAACAATTTCTTGCGGTTATATCTAGAATGTTGAATTCAAAAGAATTGGAATACGTGGTAAAAATATTTTGACAAATTTCTGACATGCCAATGTATTTGGAAAAAAAAGTGACATTCGATTGATGCTCATGATGAAAAATTTCAATTTGCAGACGTAACAACTGTTCTAGTGGTAAAAGTCGATCACTTATTTTCTTTGTCGCTGATTTATTTTGCTTAGTTGTATCATTTCTGGCGTAGTATTTAATATCATCAAAATATAAAACTAAAACTAAAATTTCATAATTGATTAAAGTTCCAAATGAGATAACATTAGGTAAGATACACCAGATATTATCGATAATAATAATATTTTTTGCTGGCATATTGCAATTAATATAATATTGATACAATTTCTTTGTGCCGTATAATTCCTTGATAAAATCTTCATTTCTTCCCGATGACACATAGTAACGTCTTAAATCTTGGAAAATTTCTGCAACCGTACCATACTTGCCCACCACTGATGATGATGATGAAATCATCATTATTTAAATTTGTCAGCAAAGAAAATTTCACAAAGCGACACAATTGGGTGCAAAAATCTGCAATGTTAAACCAATTGCAGAATTTACAATTTTTAATTACAATATATATTACTGATGTATACTTTTATTTTCTTCTGGAATACAATGGAATATTTCCCCCAACATAATTGTAATTTAGAATAGAATACAGATACAATAAAATTATTGCAATGTATGAGGGCATAAATAATACAAGTGGTTTGAAAATATTGAGATATCAAAAAAAAGTGAAATGTTTGATACGAACAACAGTTCCTAATTACACGTTGTAGTTCTTAACCAGACATTAAATTTTACATATAGTCTATTTTACGTGTTCCAAATTGTAACGTCTTCACATCTTGGCCTTGCAGAACATAATTAACATTTATTTACTATGTATGTACTAAAAAGGATCTAGGAAAACGAAAAGTTTCTGTTCCAAACCTGACATATGGTTTAAAGTACAATGGGTAAGTATAGTGCTATTTATTCTGAAAATTTATAAGAGATTATTTTTAAATCGCATACAGTGGAGATTATCGAATGTATCTTAATTTGTAAACGGTTTATTATTTCCAACAGGCTATAAAATAAGTGGTGGAAAATGTATATGGTTACTGAATGTTTTGGACGAGGATAGAACGACAATAGGAATAGAATACTACGATTTGCAAAATCATAATGTTATGCAAGTTAGCACATGTTATCACTTTAGTGTCTTTTGTCTAATTTCACCGAATTACAAGAAGCCATTTTTCAGAATGCTATTTGAAACATTTGGCGAATCAATTCACATGATATGTGATAGTAATTTACGTTTGGAATCTTATCCAAATAACCTATTGGATTGTCTATTACAAGTGAATCACAGCGAAAGATTAATTCAATATGATTTAATCGTCATAAAATGTATTTCATTGAAAGTATCTATTTGCATTCGTGAATTTCTTAAAAGTAATCTCAAACCCTATTATCAGTGTGTTGATTCACTAGATACCAGTTATATTTTAATGATGCATCTATTTCTCGACTCCAATACAATTGAATACGAGCATAAGTCTATGGATAAAGCAACAATTCCATTGAGACTCAAATTTCTCCAATCGAAAATTCCACCAGAATGCTATCGTAATAACGATCATAGTATGAAAAAAGCCTTCAGTTATTTTGATCCAACACGAATATTTGCCTCCAATGGTTTTTATATTTTTAACCTTGATACACTGCGACTGACACTATTTTCCAGCAATACGGCTGATTTATACAAACTTTTACCAATGATTGCTTTTCATCTTGAGACTATGACGGACAATATGGTTGATGTCCCAACCGGATGTTCAGAACACGAACAAATTATTTCCTATATTTTAATTGCTACACATATGGAACAGGCAATAATTTGTGTTAATTATTTACGTTTCCTATCACGAGAACAGCAAGAAATTTTCGGAAAAGAAAATCCAGAAAATAATACAGGAAGTGATGAATGGTGGAAGGAACGTGATAAACAATTATCTGATAAATATCAACGTCAATTTCTTCAAAATTTTCAGGAATTACACGTATGGGTTGAATCCTACGATTCTGAGATTCACTTACTAGAAAGTTTCGTACAACTTTATTCCCAAGGTCAATTACTCCAAGCACTTGTGAATAATTCCAAAGCTAAACATTTTTTCACAGGTCACAATATAATTAAATATGGCATGCCATTCGTGTTGCGTCGTTTTAAATGGCATCAAATGCATCAGTGTGTCGAGGAACACGTTACATTCGATGTACACTCACTTGGCACTGAATCAATTATAATTAAATTTCACAAACATTCCTATCTCATTGATTCCCATCGAATATTTCAAGAACATTTAACGACCAATTTAATGGATTTGCCAAATGATGATACTGCCAACCCCATTACCGTTCGAATCTATTACATTCTTGGCATTACGCTACAATATAATCGCGATGACAAGATTCTTCAATTTCTACAACAGATCGCCAAGAAAGCCATGACAATTAATTCCACATCGGGACAAATGTCACCAAACATTTCCCTTCATGAATTACCGCGAACCATTCATAACTGTCTAACACACCAAAACATAAATATTCCCAACCTTCAAATTTACCCCTTTGACAATTTTTTAACCCAAAATATTCAAAGTTGTAAATCTGTCCTCAATTTATGGGAAAATTTTTGTTACCCAAAACTATTTTCCCTTATAACTCAAGTATATCCTTGCAATTTGGAAAAAGCCTTACAAGCTAATGTGGAGACAAGAATAAAAATTGCTTTCAATTATATCGCAATCAAATATAGACAAATATGGTCTGCAAATAATTTTACTACTGAGCCGAAGAAATTTCGCTATCTATTTCATTACCGTTTACAAGAATCACTAATTTATAGAACAACAAAAATTTTTCATCAAGAAAATGATGACTTTACTCAATGTGAAATCTATCCTAACTATTGTATAAATCAAGACGAGAGAATCGAAATCGACGATAGTAGATACAGGAAAAATTTTCATCAATTCTTTCATGAAATCTGTACCCAACATCCTGTTGTTGATCAAGTAGAATATAAAAGCAAGAAAAAAAAATATGCCGGAGAGGTAATTGTCTTTCCTGGTGTCTACAATAATTGTATTCGAATTGATATCATTTCTCAATATCCAAATATTCTAATAGGTAAAGATATCTTTACCGATGCTGTCGATATTTGTTCAGCTGGTTCCCTGCAGAAAATTTTAACAATCGACTCAACTCTGAGGGAAAACTTTTCATCTTGGATGAATGCGGATTGCATTCAAGTTTATGCGGAAGAAAGGCAGAGGGGTAATTTTGCATCTTTAAGAGATTTTTCCTTTTCGGATAGTAATCCCGCTGGACAAGTTGTTGGTCAATTAGTAATTAATATTGAAGTCCTAATGCAATTGCCATTTGAAATTCCATTAATTATCTACTGTCCGGATAGTAGATCATTTCTTACCAACTTTCTCCAACAATTACTTAAGGTACGAAAATGTTTACAGGGGGAAATTTCCACATTGGTTCAAGATAAAGAAAATCCGAGTCTACAAACTGCGACGCAAGAATTCGTTCAAATAACAATTAATAGTGTTTATAAACTAATGGAAAATATCCAAATTCCAATAACTGCCATCACTACCATGTTCAGTAGAAAAATATTAATGTTTACCAGTAAAATTCTCCCTGTCATTATTTTAGAACTACTATTCCAGCATTTGAAGATTTGGAATTGGTTTTATTCAAAACATCAAATAGATTTACTGCAAAACTTAGAAACATTTAATGATGACATTATGGAAGATAATTTCAATCCGATTCAAGTCCATATTGTTGGTAGTTTAATATCTACCAAAGGAAGGGAAAAATTTACCAGAACCTGTAAATTAATACTCGAGTATTTTTCCATAACATCATTTGATACAATATGTGAGAATACTTCTACAAACGAAATGAGAATTACTCATCAAATTCTTAACGAAACTAATATCAGATTATTGCGTCTACGATGTTTGATTGATGGGCAAACAAGTGTACGAAATTTATCTGACACGAGAGAACAATTGAAGAATCTTCTAAACGAAATTGGTGATCAAAATTCGAATTACATTCAGGAAATATTTAATAACCTACCGTTAGCAATCAAAAATTGTGTTTTTGTCTCTGATACGAACGGATTACAATTTTTGAATAAATTTCAACTGGATGGAAAATTAATCATCGAATTACTTAACAATGAAATAGGTAAAGTCTTCGAGTTGGATAATATTATCCTTAGTAAGAAAGAATGTGCTTTTGTTTTTGCTCTCTCCAACAAAAAGTATACCATCTTTGATTTAAATCCTCTTGAAAAAGTAACATTTCTAAAAAATCAGTATGTAATCTACATTGACGATTGCAAAGTACAACATGTGGGTTACCAAGCAGCACTGCCATTTTTCAAATATCTGTGCAATTTTATCGCGCAAATTTGTCTTCTAATACATGAGGGTAAAACATTACGTGTTTATAAATTTGGAGAAATCATTTGGAGTGTTTTTAATTATTTGGAAAGTTTGCCACCGGGTCAAATTTACGTTAGGGTAAAACTGAATCGTTACAAGATAGATTCAGGTAGACGACGTTTTAGTGAAAAGTATAAGGAAACTAATAATGGAATTTTGCGTGCTGTTTATATTGTAAATGGATCGACAGTTACAAAGCAGTCTCTTAATAATAATCCATTTACATTGTCGAATTCGAAAAATCATTTGAATCAGATAATTTT